CTCTGTGAGTTCTAGCCCAGCCTGGTCTACAGAGTGAGTTCCAGGACAGGCTACAAAGTTACAAAGAAACTCTGTCTCAAAAAGAAAAAAAAGATATTGAGTGATTACATATTTTACACGATCTAATCGTATATCAACCACATAATAGATAAGAAACTGGTCCTTCCTTTACAGACAGAAGAACTGACAAGATTCCTTGTCATCATCTAGCTTAACCTGCAGTGAGCTCCCTGCCTCAGCTGCCAGGATTCCAGAATATTCTAGAGCTCTTCCCTTTCTATTGTGATCTAGCGTGTAGCACATTTAGATTTAGAGTGAGACCCAGGTGGACTTATCTGAAGGATGCTAAAGTTTAGTGATAACATCCAAGCTTCTCTTGACTGCTCAAGATAAAAGAAATACAATTCTTTCCCTAAGTAAAATATACATCTTCTTAAGTCACTCTTGAGAGGTTTTAATCAAAGCTGGTGTTTTGGATTCAGAATCTCAAACATTTGTACAGGTTTTTGTGGTAGTATTTCCTGTGGCTCCACAGCCCACAACTCACAGGTTGTCTCTTGCCCTGTGACAGGATCACTGGCTTCTTCTCCAAACATGGCATACACGGTGACTGTGTATTCTGTATTGGGGAATAGCCCTCTCAGCTCGATGTCTGTGTGAGTCTCTCCGATCTTCATCTGGAAAGAACACATAGAATCAGATCGTTTTCCAATGTGCACTAACTAGCCCTGCTCATCAGAGTGGAACAGAATAAAGGTGACACTTCCCAGAATGAGGCTGTGTGACCTCCCACAGCACCAATTTGGGGTTTGCCTCAAGTTGGTTTCCATTAGAAGCTGATAATATAGAACCACATAAAACTGAGCATCCCCTCACATGCTGTGTTGGGATAATGCTTCACAGCTGGACAAATGACTGCAGCCAGAACAATGCTGTCTGGTCCCCAGGACAGTGAGGGGGTGGAAATGAATTAGACATATTCTCTAGATGTGTACCTCAGAGCAGCGTGCTAGAGGCAAGACCAAGTGGGTACTTGTCACAGCTTGCTAATCCTAACCAGTCCTCTGGCTGGGTGCCCAGGTTTTGCTTCCAGCTCAACTGCACTGGGCCAGTTTTGCCACCCCATTTAATAAGGAGGCCATCTGGAAGAATCAAGAGTCCCTTCAGGTACTCAGAAGAGAGAGACTCAGCGTGACCCCCACTTGTCAATTTGTCTCTGGACTCTGGGGTAACGTTTTTGAGCTTTGGAGCTTGTCAAACTACTTGTGTGTCAAGTGGCTGGCTTGTATGACAACTGGACATCAAATATGTGACAAATACATTTTAGAAGGAAGAAAAGAATCTCTGTAACCTCCAATCACACAATTCAAGTTAAGTTGCTAGATGCTAAAGCATCCATACACACATTAAAATGCACTGAAGGGAGCCTGGAGACATGGCTTGGGGGGTAAGAGTACATCCTGTTCTTACTCAGGACCTGGGTGGTTCCCCTCACCCATATAGGGTAGTTCACAGCTACCTCTACCTCCAGGTCCAGGGGATCTGACACCCTCTTCTGACCTCCTCGGGCATCTACACACACATATACACATACTTGTACATAATTAAAAATATAAAACAACCTTTTAAAAATAGACAAAAGGGACAAAAGGACATAGCTCAGTGGTGGGGCACTTGCCTAGTATGTGTAAAGTCCTGGATTTGATTCCCAGAACCATAAAAGAAGGAAGGAACGGGAGAGAAAGGGAAGGCAAGAGGATGGAAGGCTAGTCAAAGAAAACGGAATACGTTAAAAAAGGCTGTAAATAAAATTTCATCAAAAGGGATGAGGATGTGTCTCAAGAGTACAACTTGGTGAGTATGTGTGTGGTCCTGAGTTTAGACCTTAGCATTGCAAAATAATGAATAGTTGTTTTTATAGGTGGTAAGGAAACCACCTATGTTTTTGTGTCGACAATTTACATTTTCTGAATTTTACACAATCAATTTTTCCAATAAAATTTTTATCTGGAAATCAAAGGTCCTGGGGCTGTAATTGGTAGCAGGGAGTTACCTCTTTTTCATCTCCAGCCAGACCTTCTGTGAGGGGAGCATAGAGGATCAGATATCCCGTGGCGCCAGGCACCGCAGCCCACCTCACGCGCATGCTGTTCTCAGTCACGTCATACAGCTCCAGGTCGGAAGCCATGGGCAAGGCCACTGCAACAAGAGGCTCCTTGTAATAGTCATTTACAACTGCCCTTGAGGAAAAAAGTGAAGCAATAGGAAACAAGAGGCCAGGCCTGCTCGGCCATGCTTAGCATCCCAGCACTTAAGAGAAGGCAGGAAGATTGTTTCAAGTTCGAGACCAGCCTCGGCTACTGAGTGACACCCTTTCTCAAAAAGAAAGAAAGGAAAAGGAAAAAAGTAACAAAACCAGCAATGCCAGCCCTATTATTACGAGAGTTGAGAGAAAGGAACTGGGGTAAACTCTAGTTCAAGGCTTGAACAACACTGGTGAAAACAAGACTTTGTGTTTTCCAGGTATAACTGGAGATCCTTCAGATATGACCGCATGTGCTTGTCAAGTTCAGCACTTTGCTTATACTTGCAACTCTCTGCACATGTTTCTCTTGGAGTCCCTACACCACTTCATGACACTGACATATTCAAATGCCCCGTGTTTGCAGACTCAGCTTTACTAGACGGACAAATCTATGGGAGGAAAAAAATGGCCATTAGACTATTTCTGCAAGGGGAGACTGCTTGGGGGGGGTGGAAGGCAAGCAGCTGGGCACGGCAGGATGGGGAAAGTCCTCAGAGGAAGGGGATGGTTCAGGACAAAATGTGATGCATACGTATGGAAACCATTGCTTCCTATGCGAACTTAAAAATAATTTAAACAAGAGAAAACATATTTCCGCAAAACAGAAGCATCAACACCGGCCTTACAGATGATGGTCATTCATAAGTCGTCCCTGCACAGGGGAAAAGCACCATCATCCTGGAACGTGATTTTTTGGGTGTTATTTACACAGTTATTGTGCTATAAAATGCAAATTATTTAGAGCAGTTTGGCGTAGTGCTCAGCACGTATTCAGAACACAATCTTCAAAAGAACTAAAATACGATCGTCTTAAGATTATCTTTTTATGATTCTCTAAGTATGTAGCTGTACATACATGCACGTATGTGTGTGTGAGTGTAGTATGCACGTGTGTAGCTGTGATCGTCCCCAATGAAAGGACTCCCACTTTTAATTGTGATGAGATGAATTATGAGGAAATTGTGGTGGCATTCCCTCAATACTTCCCCAGGGAAAGGACGTCCTGAACGTCTTCCAATGAACTAATTTTGGCACAGCTCTTGGCTCACTGTAGACATTTACTAAAAATATGTTTGGTGAATGAATGAATGAATGAATGAATGAATGAATGAATGAA